AACCCTGGAAGCTTTATGAAACAATTCTACTCCGTCCGATAGGGTCACGATGAGTTGGAATGGACTCTTAGGGCATTTGGGGAGTTTGGAAGGCAACTCCCAAAATTTCCATTTTCTCTGGAAAGTAAATGACAGGTCAGAAAACCACAACCATTTCCATCAGATGGATTGGGATTCAGATAACTCTTACAGGAGCAGACAGCCAAAAAACTCAAACCCAAAGCCATCGAATCAGTTCCAACTCATAGCAACCCTCTATGTAAATCTTTATAGGAGCAGAGACAGCCTTCCTTTCTCCCAGAGAGTGGCTGATGGGTTTGAACTGCCAACCTTGCAGTTAACAGTCCAGTGTTTATCCTACAGTGCCACCAGGGCTCACTGGCACTGGGGTTGGTATTTTAACAAACAGCAAAGCCCAGGATTCAAGTTTGAAGACCTCCAGTAGTCTGTTCTGGAAGGCTGGGGCAGGTGGGTATCCCTGGGGGAGCCCTGAAGTCAGAGCTGTGAGTTGTGGATTCTGTCAGGAGACAGGTAGGGACTGGGGAGTGTGGTTCTCCAGGTCCACCCTCTGAGCTCAGTGTCATGTGGCTCCTTCATCTGAGTGAAGCTGTGCTTGCTAACTTCCATTCCTTTTCGTTCAAGAGAATATATTTGAATAATTAGAAAGCATAGGAGTGATGTATGGATGAGGGTGCATTCATGAGTACTCTGAAGGTGCAGCGCTATAGGGTAAGCATTGGACTGCTAATCACAAGGTCAGCCGTCCAAACCCATCAGCCACGTCTCAGAAACCCTATTCAGGGTCACTGAGAATTGAAAGCAACACGATGTCACTTAATAAGTAGAGCATAGAGGAGACCTGGGTTCCATTTCCCACCATGCACCTGTCTGTCAGTGGAGGCTCAAATGCTGCTGTGTTGCTGAAAAGGTTTCAGCAGACTTTTCAGACTATGATAGAGTAGGAAGAAACGCCTGGTTATCTTGTTCTGAAAACCAGTCCGTGAAAGCCCCGTGGATACCAGTGGCCCAATCCTGTTGTATGTGGGGTCACCACAACTCAGTGGCAGCTAACAATGAGAAATAGAGTGGTACTTCTGAAACTGGAAAGGGCATGAACCCCTAGGGGTCTTAGAAAGTGTGGATCCTGATTCAGCGGGTTTGGGCTGGGACCCAGGAGTCTGCATTTCTGACAAGCTCCCAGGGAGAGTGGACCTTGCTGGACCACATTTTGAGTGATGAGAACCTGAAGTATTGTGGGTCTCAGCTTTCACTTTACATTAGACCTGGGAGCTTTTAAAAATTCTGACACCACACTGCACCCCACACCAATGAGAACAGAATCGCTGAGGGTGGAACCAAGCTACCTGGGGCCTTTAAAATCCCTACCTAGTCCCTACCTACGTTGAGACCCTCTTCTCTGAAGGCAGAGTTTGTGGGAAGGACCTGAGTGGACAGTAGGATTCACTTCCACCAGCCTTGGAAATTTACAAAAGTTTGGTGCAACTGGGATTATTTGATATACCCACTGCCGCCAAGTCAATTCTGATCATAGAGACACCGTAGGGCAGAGCAGAGCTGACCCGAATGGGTTCAAAGTCTGTCATCTGTATGGAAGCAAACTGTTACATATCCCTCCCTGGGAGCTGCTGGTGCGTTTGAACTATTAGCAATCTTACACTTAATGCTGACATACCAGGGCCCTTGACTATCTGATACTGTGTCGTTTAAGTGTGTACTAACCCCTTTTTTATTTCATCAGCTCTGTTTAGGGAGAAACACTATGAAGAATTAGTTGCCCAGGGCTGCCTCTATATACTGGGGTCTCTTCCCCTTCGTTGTCAATGTCAGCAGTCTCAGCTAAAGCCCTCACTGGTTGTGTTAATATTTATTTTCCACCTACCTGTGGTCTCCTGTTGTGAAATAGACAGCTAGCTGTTTCACATTCTTTGGGGTGAGACTGTCTGGGCTGTTGGAGTCCCTGGATGGTGCGAATGGTTAATACCTTTGGCTGCTAACTGAAGGCTCAGAGGCCTGAATGCACCCGTGGTGCCTTGGAAGAAAAGCCTGGCAATCTGCTTCATAAAAATCAGCCGTTGGGGGGGGGGGGGTCACCATGGTCAACTGGCATAACATAGGCCACAGAGACAGTTGTGTGTAGGAACCATGAGTGGCAACTGTTAGTCTCTCCCTGTCTGGAGGCAAAAAGAAGGATTAAAAATTCAAAATGCTTAGAAACAAATGAGTGGACTCATGGACCAAGTGACCATCAGTCTCCATGACCCTGAGCCCAGAAGTACTAGATGGTACCTGGCTACCACTGCCAACTGCTCTGAAAGGGACCACATTGGAAGGTCTTATATGCTGTGGGCTAATGCATCAGACTGCAAAGTCGTTTGAACTATAGGGTCGATGGTTCAAGCACCCCACCTGCTCCCCGGAAACCCTCCACAGGGTCGCTATGGGTCGGAATCGACTCGATGGCACTTCATAATGCTGTTATGTGTCATCAAGTTAGTTCTGACTCACAGCTACCCTGTATAGGACTTGCAAGGAGCAGCTGATCAGTTGGAACATTTGACCTTGCAGTTCAAACTGACCTTGGGTTCTAGTGCTTATCCTATAGGAGAAAATGTGGAACAAAACTTAAATAACAAAAAAAGACCAGGCTTATTGGTCAGATGGAGACCGGTGGGACCCTTGGATACCCTGCAAGCCTGAAACTGAACTCTCACCCCCTGTGGTTCGGTCCTCACCCAGCAATAGATAGGTATCTAGGGGGTTCCACAACACTAGCGAGGTCCGCACGTCACAGGATGGTCAGCTGTGAGAACAACAGGGCAGCATTCACCTCAGGACAGAATTCAGAAGGTGGCAAAAGAAGAAAGAATGGGAACAAGAGGCCCAGGAAGGAAGTGACTAAGTGACTGAGGGGACTGTAATCACTGAGATGAAATAAAGTGTCTGGTTTGTTAAATGCAAAACTGATGATTCTGCTCTGTAAACCTTCACTCAGTTCACAATGAAAAGTTAAACAAAAAAGTCTTCAAGAAAAATCAGTCATTGAAAACTGTATGGAGCGCGGTGCTACTCTGACACACACGTGGGCCCACCATGAGTGGGAGCCAACTTGACAATGACTGCTTTGGTGTGCTTTGATAAGGGCTGTCAGGGGTCTAGCTGAGAGTAAGACTGGGTGTTTCATCCTTCTGTGGAATCCGGATTCTCAGCCACTTGGTTGAATTTTCAGCCACTTGGTTGAATTTGTCTGAGACAGGATGAACATTAGGGGAGTTACGAAAACTCTTCAGAGATGAGGATCAGTCTGGAGGATAAATTGAAAACATTTCAATGTTCACATTTTCAACATATTTAGACCTGGTTCTAAAACAATATAAAGATGCTAGTCAAACAAGATGCAAAGCATATAAATGATTTTTAAATGTATATGTTTAATGATTTTTAGAATACTCATTAATTTTTTTAAGTGTACATTTAATGATTTTTTTTAAGAACATTACTTTTAAAATATTGTTGCTAGGCGCCATCAGGTCGGTACCAACTCATAGTGACCCTATGCACAACAGAACGAAACACTATCTGGTCCTGGGCCAACCTCACAATTGTTGCCACACTTGAGCACATTCATGTTGCTACTTGGCCAATCCATCTCGCTGGGGGGGTCCTCTTCTTTTTCTCTGACCCACCACCTTACCAAACATGATATCCTTCTCCAGTGACTGGTCCCTCCTGACAATATGTACAAAGTATGAGAGACAAAGTTTGGCCATCTTGGCCTCCACGGAGCACTCTGGCTGCACTTCTTCCAATACAGATCTATTGGTTCTTTTGGCAGCCCATGGCACTTTAAATATTCTCTTTCAACACCGTAACTCAAAAGCATCAATTCTTCTACAATCTTCCTTATTCACTGTCCAGCTTTCACATGCATATGAGGTTATATATTCCCCTTATCCTATACCTGGCATTTTTGAGGAAGCCACTGCCAAGTGAGGAGACACCTGGGCTGGATTTGAGGTACACCATCGGAGAGGAACATGTTGTTAGCTGCCCTGACACCTAGTGACCTCGTGAACCAAACAAACACTGCCTGGTCCTGCGCTATCCCCATCAGTTGAAGATCAGAACATTGTGACCCACAGGGTTTTCATTCACTGATTTGTAGTAAGTCTCCAGGCCTTTCTTCCTGTATGCCGTAGTCTGGAAGTTCCGCTGATACTCACGCCTCTACCGCCAGAGAGGTAGTGGAGGTGCAATGGCAGAGAATCAAACCTGAGTCTCATGACTGGAAGGGAAGAATTCAGCCTTGTGTTACAGGAAGACATTACTAAACAAACCCAGCACTTCAAAGGCTTAACCACAGTATAGGTTTGGTTAGGAGCCCTGGTGGCACATCGGTTAAGCACTCTAATGCGAACCTTTTGGTTGACATTTGAACCCACCAGGCCCCAAGGGAAAAAGACCTGGTGCTCTGCTCTAGGAAGCCCTGTGGGTCAGTTCTGCTCTGTAACACCTGGGGGCGCTGTGACTCTGCACAACAACAATAATTAATGAGACAGGGTGGTGCCTTTGCAGGTCAGAGGGTCTGTCCTCGTTTGGGACCTCAGGTGAGCCAGGTGTCACCAAAAAACTCAAAGTTTGGCTTCCAAAGTCATCCTGGGGGCTGGGACAGGGGTGGGGGTGGATGTCTTAGGGACCACTTGTGCTGGCTCTCCATTGGCTGGCGCGGTCACATGACCACACCCACCTGTTCAGAAAAGAGCTGGCAGTAGCCCGCTGGCGGAGCGTTGGTTCTTTACTCAGTGATGGCCCTGAATCCCGTCTTGGGGCATGAATTTGTTGGGCCATCTGTGTCCCACTGCACTGGGGTCAAGTGCCCCTCACAGGTGGTCACCTGCAGATGGTCCAGGCCCGCGGGGGGCGGGCGGGCGAAGCCCATGTGGACTGATGATTTTAAGCATGTACTTTTCTCTCGTCTGCAGATATCGCCAATGGCAGCAGTTCAGGGGGGTACCGCCCACCTCCCAGAACCAAAGAAGTTATCATCAATGGCCAGACTGTGAAACTTAAGTACTGTTTCACTTGCAAGATTTTCCGGCCCCCTCGTGCCTCCCACTGTAGCCTCTGTGATAACTGCGTAGGTGAGTGGCGGACACAGTGGTCTTGAGGGGGGGCGGGGTGCCATCTGCGAGTAGAGGTTTTGTACTAGGGATCCTGAGTGTGTTTCTCTGTAATTCCGAGAAGGGTTAATATTTCAGCCTTTGCCTTCTACCAGGATCGTGTGTGTGGTGCTTAGGATAAGCACTGGACTGCGAACCACTAGGTTGGTGGTTGGGCAGTTCACACCCACCAGCTGCTTCTCGGAAAGCCTATGCAGGGTCGCTATGAGTTGGAACGGACTCAGTGGCACTGAACAACAGTAACAGAATCCTGTACACTACGCCTACACTTAGAACTCTTCTTATTTCTTATTGCCTCCTGCAACTCCCACACACATGCCTCCCCCACACATGCCTCACACATACCGCACAAGTGTGGGCCCTTGGTCCTGGAGCTCCCTGGCCGGAGGGCATCTGAAATAAAGCCAGGTCTTCTTCGCTTATTGGATGTACCCGAAGGAAGTAGCTGGAGGTGTCTCAGCAAGTTCTCTCCTGCCATCCCCTCTCCTCAGGTGTAGGAAACCCAAGGAGAGCAAGAGGGAGGTCAGGAGCCTTGGTCTTCTGGGGCCAAGGAGACCACCGCCTCCTGCTGTTGGCCTGCCTTCTCCAGGACAGAGCAGGAAGCAGGAAGAAGCAAAGCGCCTGCTCAGAGGTCCTCTGCTCTAAGCCAGGACCTAGCTGCCCCTGACCAAGGTCACAGCTCCTTGGAATTATCCGTTGGGTCTTAGCCCTTAAGTCTGGACCTGCTTTCCACAGCCATTGTCTATCTTCCTTAGAGATGAGATGGCAGAAGACCAAAGTTATGGAAGGAGAGCTTTTCCATGTTCAGGAAGATCTATAGTTTGACACAAGTCTGAGTTCCCAGGAAAATTGGTGGGAATCCTGTTACCTCATTCCCGAAGCAAAAGGAACACACTTCTCAACAAACCTGGTTTCCCTCAGTAAGCATGTGATCAGTTGCCAGC